TCAAAATTTTGAGAAACTACATGTATTAACAAATACAATCTGCTAGACTCTATTTAGCAATCTGACCTCACAGAAAACATTTCTGGTCATTTTGTGTGAATTTTTGTGTTTTTAATCCACACTGACCCATTAACACCAAATTCACACATTAACACAAACTGAATAATCAGCAGATGGAGCAATAGACAAAGAGGGTCACCTGCCCTATGAGCTAAACCTTCTGTTCTTATAAATGGACTCTGGTAGAAAGTAAAAATTTAAATTCCTGTCTGAGAGCAGATAAAGAGGTGAACATTTTAAGTGCGTTGACTTAAATACACAGCAATTCTTTCAGACAAAATACAGTTTCTGTGTCTACTTGGGGGTATGCCCTAGACCCACCTGCAGCAGGAAATACACTGTGCAGTTTGTTACCTGCACAGTGGAAGAAAGAAGCTGGCATCTAGCAGTAAACAGTTTACTAAGTGAAACAGCACAAAGATGGAATATGTTCTAAATACTTTTACCTAAAAGCCACAAACATATTTAAAAAAAAATACTTGTTTGTTGCCATTTTCTTTTCCTTTTGCCTTCTGTTTTATAAAAGTGAATTTTCATGTTGCTTTAGTTATCTTTCTGATCAGTAGACAAAGTCAACACCTTACTGTTAAAAATATATTATTACTTTGAGAAAAAAAACCCTACAACCCCACATTAGAAGAGAGCAATAAAACATTGGATGCCATCATCTGTGATTCATAATCTGATGAAAAGATTCAGAGAAATGTGTGCCCACAGAGAGCAGCTGCAGAGCAAACCCTTACATATTACTGAAATCCCTGCATGGATTCAGAAAGCTAAGACTTTCACTGAAAGGTCAGAGAAACGGGAGCCAGAAATACCATTGTGCTCCAACCAATCAGAAGCTGAGATTCTGTCTAGAAATCATGGACACGTTATTCTCTCTTGTCATCCAAGAATGGATTCCTGCTTACCCGATCTTGTGGACAGATTGAGTGTCAGAGGCGTTGGACATCGCTGAGACATCACTGACATCACTGTCTGATGACTTAAAGGAGAGATTGTCCTTCATCTATAGATTGAGGAGAAGAGGTAAGCAAGCTGTGGCACACACGTAATGTACACACACATATATAAATAAAAGTGGTGTAATGTTTGTTTACCTTTGAAAGGTCCTTCAGTACACCTGTAGAGACAGAAGAGCAGCATTAGTCATAGTCTAGGTTGGTAATGTGTGATAGCAGGAAATGACAATAGATTTCACTTTTTTCTCTGTTCGGACAGCTTCAGGCTGCTGATTTCTGACAGCACGGAAGTTAGTTTCAATTCACAGCAGGTCAGAAAACAAGATGAAGCTGACTGAAAGTGTGTGTACCTTCTCTGCCGGTTGGTAACATCTCCCCTTATAAAAAGATGGAAACAGAAGAATATCAACGAGAAACCACAAACTCCTCAAAGCACACAGAGAGCTGGATAGATTGACAGAAGACTAGATGGATGGAAAAACAGATGAATGGATGGACAGATGGCTGGTGGAGTGCTTTATGAATACATGGATTAGTCCGGTTCTTATATAGAGCTTTTCTACACTGAGGATTCAAAAGTGCTTGCGCAAATGGGTGAATGAGTCTAAAAACCAAATCCAAAACCAATCCACTTCAGTCTAACTAGATAACTAACTAGATAACACGAGCTAAACACTACATTTCTATATGTGGGTGTGGCTAAAGGTGGGCATAATACCATTGGCTGTTTTCTTCTGTTGGTCCTCCCATGTGACCTCTGCATAGTGCGGACAAAGAGAGGTGATTGGTCAGGCTACACTAATGCTCATACTCTAGTCAGATGACCCATCCAAACCAGCACCAAACCGCAGTGATATAAACACACCTGAACAGCAACATTTTGAGCAGGTTACAAATCTGAAATTTATCATCTGTTCTTGTCTTCTTTAAGTTTCATGTGGATGTTTCACCTCTCATCCAAGAGGCTTCTTCGGTTCTAAAAACCAAACGGTGGAGAGTCGCAGCTCTTTAACCCTAGCAGGGGTTGTTGTCCCTTAAGAGAGTTGCTGACACAATATTAAGAATTTACCTCATCACATGAGCCAAGGTGTTAATAAAAAGACATGGGTCATTAACACCCAAGGGAGAAACCAAAATATGAAGAAAGACAGGACTAATACTGCATCATTGACTCTCTTAACAGCCCCCAATATTCAACTCATTTCCATTTTATTTATATTATGCCAAATCAAAACAGTTACATCAACAGTTACCTGCTTTATATTGTAAAGTAAACCCCTACAATAAAACAAAGAAAACAGAGTGTAAAACTAGGGTTTAAATACCAGAGACTCTCTATTTGATTTTTAGAACTGAAGAGGCTGCTTGCTTTTCAAGCTCCTTACACTACAATGAATTGGATGACCGAGAACCTACACAGACATCATCTGTTGGTTTTACTGAGCCTTTGGGGGCAGTTACCAAGAAAATGTGTTTCTGACTGGAGATAAATGTTTAAAATTTGAATCATCATAAGATGCTCGTGATGGATCCTAGCCTGAGCTTAAAACCCCCCTCTCTCTTTCTCCACACAAAACTATACATTTTCATCACCTAAACGCTGCGGCTATACTTATCTTCTTACAAACCCTCATAGTTTACATGGTGAGGATCACCTGACACTTCATTAGATCCACCAGTGACTGGACTTGCCTTTTCTGGTTCCTCCTGGTGTTGCTGAGCGCCTATCCGGCTCTGACATGCAGGGTAATATGTGATGGCATTATGTAAACAACATGAACACATGAATGGATAAGTAATGATTATGATAAAGAATGTCTGACAGACATCTGACTAGAAGAATCACGCTAATTGTTCTGTTCTATTGGAGATGCATTGAATGTTAAACCTGATGTACACACCTGGAGTCTGTGGGGGTGGGACTGGTGATGGGGCAGGTGAAGGGGAAGGTGTTGGAGTTGGAGGGGGTAGGGTGGGTTCAGGAGGTGGAGGCTGAACTGGAGCAGGTGCAGGGGGTGGAGCAGGGGGAGGTGGAGCTACCAGTGGAGTTGTTTGTGCAGTTGTAGGTATAGTTGTGGGTACAGCTGTGGATACAGTTGTAGGTACAGCTGTGGGTACAGCTGTGGATAAAGCTGTGGGTACAGCTGTGGGTACAGCTCTGGGTACAGTTGTGGGTACAGCTGTGGGTAAAGTTGTGGATACAGTTGTGGGTACAGGAACAGGTGTGGGTAAAAATAGTGGTGGTGCTGCTGTAACTACAGGTGGGAGCACAGGTGCAGGAAGTGGCTGGGGTTGGGGTTGGGTGAGTGGGGGAGGCGGGGCTTGGACCCTTATAAGAGGAGGTTGTTGACTGACAGAGGGAAAGTGTTGTTTATGGACAGGGGCAGGGGAGTGATGATGTGGAGGGACTTTAGTTGCTGTTGCTGGAGCTGCAGTCATGGTCAAAGCTGATGGGGAAAAAAAAAGCTGTGAGAAGAATGAAAACAATGACATGATGAATGACCACACGACCTTTTCCAGAAGCGAAATCACAGGAGTGACCTACTCAAACGGTATTCTGGGATATAACAAGAATATTGAGACGAATTCAGGTAGCTTTAGTCGAGCTACTTGCAAGTCAAGCTGGCAGTTTCTGGTGAACTCATGACACACCTGTTCTTAGAGAGCGGGTTCTACTGGATGGATGCAGATCCTGATGGTAGCATACATATTCACTACCACTAGAAGGAACTCAGTCATGTTGAATTTCTCTATTATTATGCAGGCTGAAACCTGAGCCAATCCCGGCACAGAAACCTGGGCCTGGTCAAGGGACTACATCTCTCAGTACTAACATGCTTTCACCAGAGGAATTGTCCCCCAAGAACCTTTGTGGAATCCTGTTATAGTAGCTTCCAGTAAAGGAGCTTGGGTCAGAGAGAAGTTCGGGAGAGACCATTTTTATGCCCCCAACAGTGATACTTTGAACACTCTGAAGGTCCAGGAACTTTTGGTTGGAGCGTGCACTGCTATACACCATTTATTGGAATAGTTTTGTAGCCACAATTTTAAAATAATTCAAAACAATGTGCTGTTTTTGTCATGAGGTGGTCTACATTAACTGGGGTTGTTATCCTTTATTTTTGTTCATCTGACTGATTTATATTCTGTATTCACAGGACTTTAAGGTAAGGTGAAATTAGTCTTTATTTCACTGGAAAGTTCCTGACTGTGGAACAGTAATGTGAAGAGCTTTTTATTTACACATCTCAGCACTCATCTTTTATCAGCAGTGCCACTGAATCACTAAATTACTACCACTACAGGGGGCTTGTTATTAAGGAGTTACTACTCTAAGTAGGTAAACTTTCAGTTCATTACCTGTCTGCACAGAGTCTAAAAAACAAACAAATCCATTTTAGAGAGCTATGACCCTCAGGAGTCAGTAAGCACCTGCATATGGACCACTAACTATCTCATTTTCATTATTTGTCCCAGAAACCAGTGAACACTCTGTAGCTAAAGCAAAAATCTCAATGAATTTATTCAATTAATCATCTGACATAGATAGGAAACCACTGTTATATTCTATTCTATTCTTTTCTATAAGTATTTTACAAATATTATTTTATTAAAATGACAAAAATTCTTTACTGCCAGCATCTCATGCTTGAACCTTTCTGTGACGCAGAATTCAAAACCTTTTGAATCAGTTAATTACGTTTTTTAAGTAACAATCAATTCATTAGCTTACTGCTGTTGTTCTGTGTCAGTAAATGTGCAAAATTCAGTTTAGATAGCTCATGGAAGGATAGGGTGCAGGTATTTAACAAAACCAGAGAAGAGACTGAAAACAAACAGTTGCTATCAGCATTTTGCCAAACCCTGAATATTGACTCTGGTTTCTTTTTAATGGGTTTGGGATTTCCCAGCTTGTGTCTCTAGGCATTTAATATAACACATATAGGTAGAGTTATAATTTATGTGAGACAGTTTTTGTAGCTTTTGTCTATATTGTATGCAACCACAGTGCAGACTCACAGCTTTAATTTAAGCAGTTGTGGATGAACTATTTAGGTTTTCTACAGCTATCTTTATACACAGTTCAAAAGTAAGTGAGGAAGCTGGCAAGCTGTTTCATTGCCAGGTGAGACCTGTTCCCTAATTTATTTATAACAAATAATGTAGACACAATATCTAAAGTTGATTTAAAGTGTTGGATTTACATTTTTCACTGTAAATATGAAAATATTGAAATATGAGACCCTGCCTGTATAATTGTATGAAATTAATTAAGTTAATGAAGATCTGGAGTTGAATTGGATTGAATTTGTATTCTTTCACTAAAACTTTCAACATGAGGTTCAAATACATGCCAGTGTAAGTGAAGGAGGACATTGTTAGGCTGAAATACCCAAATGAACCAGTCAGGCAAAAACTTTCTTAAAAAGACTGAATCCACCGAGCAGCAACACCAAAAGACCACAGAACACAGAAGAGCATGATGGCAGAGTCTAGTCTAAGACCTGACTTGACACACAGACGTAGACAAACAGGCACACTCAGACACAAACATGAATTCCCACCCTCATGCACACATATCCCACATGGCGATTGTGTGCTGTTCTGAAGTGGGAACATGGGAACATGGGAGTGGGATGGTACCAACGACCTTCTGCCAGATAGCAACTGGCGTCAGCACGGACCCTCCCGAGAACCCTCAATGTCTACATATATTCAAAACTGAGTGACAATTGACACCAATTTATCTGTCGATCTCAAGCTCCCGTCTCCCATCACTCATGAACAAGACCCTGAGATACTCAAACTCCTCCACTTGGTGTAGAAACTCGTCCTTGACTCGGAGTGGGCACTCCACCCTTTTATGGCTGAGGATCATGGCCTCCGATTTGGAGGTGCTCATTCTCATTCCCACCGCTTCAAACTTGGCTGCGAACTGTTCCAGTGCGAGCTGGAGGCCATCACCTGATGAGGTCAACAGAACTACATCCTCTGTGAAAAGCAGAGATGAGATTCTGAGACCACCCAAGTGAAAGCCTTCTGCCACACTCCGATGGACACGGTCGAATGCCTTCTTCCATGACCAGGACAAAAACCACATTGTTCCTCCTGTTTCCGAGGTTCGACTGACAGCAGCACCCTACCATAAAATATCCCAGGGAGGCTGAGGAGTGTGATCCACCTATAGTTGGAACGCACCCTCCGGTCCCCCTTCTTAAAGATGGGAACCGCCACCCTGGTCTGACAATCCAGAGGCCCCTGATCTCCACGCAATGTTTCTCCACAATGCAACATTGTAGAGGCATGTCAACCAAGACAGCCCTACAACATCCAGAACTTTCAGGAACTCAGGGCAAACCTCAACCCCCCTCCAGGGGCCGTGCAACCATGGAGTTGTTTAACTGCCTCAGTGACCTCACCATGGAGATAGACGAGTCATCCCCCTCATCCCCAGACTGTGCTTCCGCCACGGAAGATGTGCCAGTGGGATTAAGGAGGCCGTTGAAGTATTCCTTCTACCACCTGACAATCTTCTCAGTCAAAGTCAGCAGGGCTCCACCCCCACAATACAGAGTGCAGGTTTCTCCTCCTGAGCCTCCGGATAATTGCCAGAATCTCTTCGAGGCACTCCAAAATCTTTTTCCTCTCCAAACTTCTCCTACACCCATGTTTTTGCTTCAACCACTGCCCGACCCACTTTCTGCTTGGTCTGCCTATGAAGTCCCACAGGCTAACCAAGCCTGTTAGGCCTCATTCTTTAGCCTGGTGGCTCCCTTCACCTCTGGTTTCACCATTTGGTTCAGGGGTTACCACCATGACAGGCATCAACCACCTTGCGGCCGCAGTTCAGTACAGCGGCTTCAGCAATGGAAGTGCTAAACATGGTCCATTTGGACTCAATGTCCCATTCTCCCTCGGAATGCTGTTGAAGCATAATAATAATGCTTCAACAGCATTCCGAGGGAGATAATGATTAATAATCATCATCATCATCATCATCATTGTTATTATTATTATTATTATTATTAAAGCAGCTGTGGTTTTGTGTGCTACAATAGTTGGGCAGCTGGAGAATTACGCACATTGGAAAGTCAGTCAATAAAAGCCGTGTTAAACTGCAATGCTACTGTTGTTGGGTCTTTCATTGGCACAATAATAATAATAATGGATTGGATTTATATAGCGCTTT